GATCACCTCCTATTGGCGGCTTCCCCACTAAGCAAGTCTGCCTGCTTGCCTGAGGAGTGTAGGGTGAACCACATGGGTTCAGACACTGGGGTATTTGTCTGGCCTAGGCTCCAGGCAGCTGATGTTGTAGTCCTGCCATTGCCATGTGAACATGTTAGAATAAAGGTGCGGCCTCAGGATGGAGAGTCAGCTTTCACAGCCTCCTGGCTGTACGCATTCTAACCGCCATAGCCACTTAGATCAGGAGTTTCTACTATGAGGCCAGCTGCACAAACTCCCAGCTGGGTTTGGGGCCTTTGAGGACCGGAGGACTCTCCTGTGGTGGGGATTACTGGCATTTGTGGCAGCAGTGGGAACAGCTTACCTTCTGTCCACCTCACTCCAAGCTGGTCTGGTCCCTGCCGGGAGATAGTGAGGCAGAAGCAGGATGCCTTGCTGTGCTCTCTATGGTGCTATCCCAGTCTTCTGTACTCCACAAAGATTTCGTCACTCCCCTGGTGCTCTGTAGCATACTTCTTCATTCGTTCCAGTCAAAATATAGTTGTTTGTTGTATTGGTCTCTTTTTGTGGAGGCCATCTTGCTCCGCCCTCTCACTAATGCCATTTTATTTTTTACATTTCATTTTTCCATTTGGAGTTGTGTGTGATGTGAGCTTATTTTCGTTTCATATTCTTGTTTTCAATAACTCTTATTTTTTTCTGATTGTAAAAGTGATACATTGTTTATTGTAGGACATTTAGAGAAGTATGAAGAATAAAACCTAAAGCTACCAGAATTTTATCATCCAGAGATGACTACACTTCTCTTTCTAATTTTTCCTCTTTGTGTAATTTAGTCTGGGTTCCCTGATAGTATTTTAAGAATGTTGGATATGGCTGTCCAGTTAGCTCAGATGGTTAGAGCAATGTTATAACACCAAGGTCAAGGGTTTGGATCCCCGTACGAGCCAGCCACCAAAAATAATAATAATAATGTTGGATAAAATGAGGAAAGCTAGGGTCCCTTAAAGACCTATTCTTACTATACTCATCTTAGAAACAATTGATCCATCTTCTTTTCCTTTCAACTTAGTACAAACCTCTTTCATGTATGACAAGACTAATGAAGACAAGGCTAAAGAAATCATTCCAGACTTCTGACTGTTTACAATATACTATAAGAAATAATTTCAGCTGCAAAAGGGACTTTTCCTAAGTCTTTATAAAAAGTACGTTTTATGTATATGAATATTTTGCTTTTTGTCCTTGGGTTATATTCCTTTGATTTTGAATCATTGAAGTTTTTGTGTGTCATTGAAGCTTTTGTATTTATTTTCTGTATTTGTTAATTTGCACATGCTCAGCCTACATGAATTCCTTGCATTGGCAATTAAATAGCATGTGAAGTAGGAAACATTGGTTTTCTGTTGTATTTCCCTTTTTAGTCTGATCTTTGCCTGACCCTGGTCCTGTTTTCTGCTTTACTCTTAAAGCTTTTCCCCATTATATGGATGTCCTATTTCATGTTGTGGTTCTGTACTTCTTTTTTAGAATCTTGCCAAGAACTCTTTTTTCCTTACTGCTGTGAGATCTTTTATATCCAATGTTCCCTGCATTCCTATAGTACCTATCTCTGTAGTCAGCATATTAGTTAAGAGCATGGACTCTGAAATTAGACTGCTGAGCTCAAATCCCAGCTTCACCATTACCCACCAGTTGTCTGGCTTTGAGTTATTTAACCCCTTTGTGCTTCAGTTTCCTCAAAAAAAATTTTTTTTTAATTTCCTTAATTGTAAAATGAGGATAACAATAGAACCTACCTCGTAGGGCTGTTGTGAAAATTAAGTAAGTTTAGGGCCGGCCCGGTGGCGCACTGCTACAGTGCGCCGCTTGGGAAGTGTGGTGGCGCTCCCGCCAAGGGTTCGGATCCCACATGCAGACCGGTTCCCGCTCGCTGGCTGAGCGAGGCGCGGGAGCAACACCGAGGGTTGTGATCCCGTTGCTGGTCCCGGTTCGGTACGGGGGCGACACTGAGGGTTGCGATCCATTGCCGGACATGGAAAAAGACAAAAAAAAAAAAGAAAAGAAAAGAAAATTAAGTAAGTTTAATATATGTAAAGCATTTAGAATATAGCCTAGGACATAGTTCTATAGAAGTGTTAGCTATTATTATTAGTTGTAGTAGTATTTAAATAATTCAAGCATTAGCCTCAAATTGCAATGATGAGCCTACTCCTAAGTGCTAAATTTTCCTTGGAAAAATCAACAGTTGCCTTAAATGATTCCCCCATTTAGAGAAACCCTGCAATTTTTTAAAATTGTTTTTTAAATATTCACAGGTAATAATTATTCACAGGTAATATTTATTCACAGGTAATAATTAATAGGATACAATGTGATCTTTCCATACATTATGTAATGATCTAATCAGGGTGATTAGCATATCCGTCACCTCCAACATTTATTGTTTCTTTGTAGTAAGAACATTCAAGATCCTCTCTTCTAGCTATTTTGAAAATATACAATACAATATTGTTAACTATAGTCCTGTCATTTGCGACAACATAGAAGAAACTAGAAGGCATTATATTAAGTGAAATAAGCCAGACACAGAAAGGCAGATACCACATGATCTCACTTGTATGTGGAATCTAGAAAGTTGATCTCACAGAAGTAGAGAATAGAGAATCGAACAGTGGTAACCAGAGACTAGGGAGGAATGAGGTGAGGGGGGATAATGGGAAAAGGTTGGTCAGTGGTTACAAAGTTACAATTAAATAGGAGGAATAAATTCTGGTGTCTTGTTGTGCAGTGGGTTGACTATACTTAACCCTAGAAATTTTACAGAAGAAAAAAATTATTGAATTAAATGTGTCATTACTTTGAAGCTTGTCGGCTCACATGACTAAAGCATGGAAGTTTTCAGTTTAATAAGAACAAGGAAACAGTGATCTAAAATAACACTAAATTTACTAATAGTTTATTTTTATATTCAGCATTTTAACTGAACATTCTTCGTAAGAGTCTTAGGAAATTCTCAGCAGTGTAATATGAGACCTTATTGTGTGACCTTGCTATTAACTTTTTGATAGAGAACAGACTAAGGTCTTCTATAAGAATTGATAGAGGTCTTAAGCTGGGTGAGAGAACATCTACTCTATTCCTAAAATCCTTTTTACTCCTTTATTGGGATTGAGAACAGCTATTCCCTCTTTTTTTTTTTTTTTTTTTAATCATAATCTTGACAACTATTCATTTTTCCCTTTAGTCTTTAGGTCAAATCTTCATATTTCTTCTTCTTCTTTTTTTTTTTTTTTTTTTTTTTTTTTTTTTTTTT